AACACGCCTGCAGTTCCCAGGAACACGCCTGCAGTTCCCAGGAACACTGTCCTTTCCTCCTAGAAGGGCACTCCTCACAGCTGGAGTCTCAGTCCAAGTGTAACCTGCTCCCTGATCTTTCCCTCCCATGACCTCCTGGGCAGCACAGTTCCTTCTCCCCCGAGTGACCCTGTTTCTTTTCTTCGCATTTCTAAGCAGCTGCAACTTCTTGTTTGAAGTCTGCCTTCACAGCGCCCATAAGCTTCACTCAGCCAATATTTACCGAGCGCTGCCACGCGCCAGGCACTGTTCCTGGTGCCAGGACGCAGGGTGACGGGGGAGACAAAAAACCCAGACTTCCTGGGCTGCGGTTCTGGGAGTGGCGCTGACATATGCAAAGCTGGAACAGAGCTGGTCAAGGTGACTCTGTGACTGGGCCAGTGGGTGACCTCTGTCCGCTGCCCCACACCATTGCAAGCATCCTGTGGCATTTCCTCATGAACACTCACTGAGTAACCCAGGAGGCGGCTACTACTACCATTTCTGCTCTACTGATGAGGACACACCGAGGCCCAGGAAGATTCTAGGGCCTCCCACCTCCCCAGTCACTCAGAGTACCAGCTGGCAGAAAGGCTGCTGCTGCCTGCTGGGCCACGTGCCCAAATGTTGGCTTTTTATGGCAAAGATCAGCACACGCTTCTTGGCTGAGTGACCTGCAAAGCCCAGGTGACCTAATAATACAAAGAGGCATTTTCCCAAGTAAATCAGTCCGGTGCGTTCTTACTTCTAAATGCTGACCAGCAGCACCTGTGCACACCTGCGCTCCCTCAGGTGGTTGCTCCAGTGTTCACGATGCACCTTCCAGGGGCTGCCCAGTGGCACCTGCCCTGCCCTGCCCCCTATCAGGTGTCCCTGAGAACAGATCATTCCTGAGAAGCAGCTCTGATTCCCACTACTTTACAACGGAGACCTAGGCGCCCAGGGCCGAGCGTGGCTGGGAAGAAACTTGAACCTGGGTGCCCCCACCTGGGTGCTCCTACCCAGGCCTGGCCCCCCCAGCTCTCCTGCCTGCTGTATTCCCTCCCTGCCTGACCCTGCCTTCCTCAAGCTTTGCCTCCAACTTTACCTCCAGTTCCCACTTTGGGGAATAAGGGTTAGAAGCCAGGGCTATGGACCCCTGACCCTACCAAGCCACAGCAGAGCCTGGTGTAGGGAAAAGAGTCTTTATTCCTGAAGTTGCAAACACACATGCCCCACCACCCCTGGCCTGGCCAGTGCCTGAGCCCAGGCCTAGAGCACTGTGTTGGAGTCCCAGGACCTCCATCCCTGAGTTGTCTGTGTGTGTGTGTATGGAGGGGACTCCCGGGTGACATCTGGAGGCAGTGCAGGAGTGGGGGGTTCTCACAGGTGCTCCGTCACACTCAGAGGTAGGCAGTCTCAGGCAGGGCGGCAGCATGATCAGAGTTTGGTAACCTGCGTGGGCAGACGAGGAGAGGTTCCCATCAGTTACAAAGGGCACTTACCCACCCTCTACCCCAGGAGCCGCTTCATCTCAAGACAGGAAGGAAAGGCAGTGGGTCCACTGGGGTCAGAGGCATCCAGAAAGGGTGGGGATTTCTTGGAACTGGGATCAGGGTGGGGACAAGCAGTCAATAAACAAGAAGAGCTCAGCGGACCAGGGGTCATCTCACCCAAACAGGGTTGACTTGGTTGGACCTTGGGTGTTGGAGGGCAAAGATGACAGCATCGTGGACAGAGGCAAAGAGATGCTGCTTAGTGATGGAAGCATCAAAGAAGTGCCCGGCCTCCATCTGGGTGACCACGGGAGCTGTGGGCAAGGAGTGGGTCTCTCCTGACTCAAAGAATCACCAGGAACCCTGGCCCCAGTCGTCAGCAGAATGCTCTGACCCATGTCATCCCAACTTCCACCCCTGAGGCTACAGCTAAACCCGCAGTCACTTTGACCCTTGATCCCTGCCTCCCAGGAGACATCTGACCTGATAGACTTTTTCCTGACAGACTCCTTGGCCAGAAGAGCCCCACCCTCTTCCCCCAAACCACTCTCACAGTCCCCACCCCACTTACTGTGGCAGGCAGCCAGGTACACCTCCACCTCGATCTCCCGAAAGTCCCGGAAAATCTGCAGCAGGAAAAGGGGCCAGATTCAGAGGGAGGCCCAGGGGCTTTGTGGGGAGACTCAGGCAGGCTGGGGCAGGAGGTTTAAAGGGGAAGTTCAGTGGATTTGGGGGTCAGAAGGCTCAGAGGGCTCTTAGAGCTGGTTACGGGTCGGGTAGAGGCTGGAGGCTTGCCCTCCCCCAGCTCCTTTCTAAGGGTGCCTCCCTTACATTCTTCAGGCTCTTGAGGCACACAGTGTCCACGAAGGAGAGGGTGCCCAGGTCCAGGACAAGGCTGTGGAAGTCGGGCTGGGGCAGGCCCAGGGCCTTCAGTGTGCACGCCGAGGCCTTGGCATCTTCTTGACCACTGGCTTCTGTGTCCTCTGGTTCTTTCTCCGTGCTTATTACCTTCTGGGGACAAGGCACACTGCAGGGGCTGCCCAAGGTTGGAGGGTGAAAGCAGGGGATGCACAGACACACAGGGACACACGGGCAGATGTGGCATGAGCGTGTATATACCCACATATATGAGGCATGCAGGGGACACATGAGGACATGGATATGGGGAGCCTCCTGTATGCTGACAGGAAGGACATTTGGAGAAACACAGGAGAGGACACCCAGACTCAGAGAGCACACACAGATGTGCATTTACTGCTCTGTTACCCCTGGGCCCAGGCTTAACTGGGACACTTAAGAAGGGAGGGTCCTGGGAGACCATGCCCCATCCTGTCAGCCAGGGTGGAGTGGGCAGGGGGCCGAGGGACAGGCCAGAAAACACCCACGCACACCCGTGCACATGCAGACACCTCAGCACCCTGCCTGGGTCTCTAATGGAGCTTGGCGTCCCCTTTGATCTTGCATTTCCCCCCACATCCCCAACCCCTTCCCTTCTACCCATGAGCACAGATTGTGGGGTCTTGTGGACTCTAACAATTCATGGTCTTCATCGAGGCCTCGGATCACGGACAGGGATCCACAAGCAGAATTCCGCGGCGTATCACCAGCGATCCCTCCACAGAGCGTCTCACCCATCATCCCATTCCCCCTGCCACTGACGCGGCACCTGAGCCCACAGCGGCAGGTCCGTGGCTTTCCTCCCCGGACATGTCGGGCACCCCCACCTCTGCAGCTCACGGCTGGCCCCTGTCCCACCTCCAGCCTCACCTCGGCCTTGGAGCCCTCCATGTTGTTGCTCTTGATGTCTCCGTCACTGGCGTTGACATCGATGGCAACGGAAGTACCATTGGAAGCAGCAGCCTAGGCCAGGGAGGAGGGGGGACAGAAAAGAGTTGTCCCAGCTGCCACACAGCAGCTGTGCCAGGCAGGTCTGGTGTTCCCCCTGGCTCTGGGCAGGTAGGCGGCCCAGGAACCAAAGCCTGGGACCCGAGCCAGGCTGAAGGCTATGGAGTTTTGAGCGGCTCTGGGAGCAGCCATACAGGGGGGACAGTGACGGTTCATGCTGGCGGTGGCTCCGGAGGTGGGAGTAAAACAAAGCGCCACAGCAGGGAACAAGGGCCAGGGACAAAGGAGGGTGAGAAGCCAGGAGCCAGGGGGCTGGGAGCCAGCTGCGGGCAGGGGGCGGGCAGGGGGCGGGAGGCCCGGCTCGGAGGGGCCCCTGCCTGTTTCTGGAGCTTCTCCTTCTGCAGCCGCTTCAGCTTCAGCTCCTGCTTCTTGAGCAGCTTCTTCTTCCGGGAGATGAGCTTGTCGATGTCCACGCCACACTACAGGCAAAGGACAGGGAAGGGGAGGTGGGCACCTGGGCTGCGAGGGACCCTCCCACACCCCCAGGGACCCCAGGCCTCACCCTCTGCTTCAGCGCGTCACTGTAGAGGTCAGCATTGGCGAAGTACACGGTGGCTGAGGAGCGGAAGACCTTCACGCCTGGGACCTCCCTGGCCTGGGGTGGGTCACGGGGCGGGTGGCTGAGCCTTCTCTCTCCTGGCTGCATCTTGTCCTCCTGCCTTTGCTCCCGTGCGCCCCCGTGCCTGCACCCCAACCCTCTGCTCCCCAGCCACAGGCGCCCAGCCTGTGGCCCATGTCATCCCGACTCCTTGTCCTGCTCCCAGCCTCTGCCCAGGCCCTCAGCCGCCCACTAGGCTTGCTCCAGGGTACCCTGCACCCCTCCTCCCATCTCTCCTGCCCTCCTGCCACTCGGCAGGCTGGTGTCAGTGGCTCAGACCTCTGAGCCTGGCCCTGTGGTCTGGTCTCTACATGCTGTGTGCAGACAGAGACCCTCCTCAGCTGCCATCCCAGCCAAGCCCTCCCAGTGCTCACCCCTCTCAGGGCACAGCCCAGGTCTCTGCTGGCATTCAGGCCTACGTAATGTGCACCCACCTCCGTACCTCCCTTTCCACCCAGCTGAGCTGCCTGCCCCCCGTCTTCCCTTCACTCTGCCTGATCATGCTGTGATCAGCCTTCAAGGCTCGGTGTCAGGGCAATGGGCTTGTTTCATTCCAGAGCCCCCATCTCTGTTCCCAGCACTTGGTGTGGGGCTTCTCAGCTCAATGAACGATAGATATAGTGACTCCATCAGATCAAAAACCAGCCTCTCTGACATCCTGGTGCCCCAGGATCCTGCCCCTTGCACAGTCCTGACCCAGGACTGTTCTGCAGGATGGGGCTTGTACTGCTGGCTCCAAGAGACCCCTCCTCAGGCCCCCAGATCCAGTTCTGTCCACTAGTCCTCTGGCCCTTCCTCACCCCTCATACTCTGACTTGGGGTCATAGATCCAAATTCTCCCTTGAAATTCCAAAGACGAAAGCGTCCTTATCAGGTGTGGAAGGAACTCACAAAAGCCCATTGTGCTTCTGCCCCACCCCATTGACGCCTCCCTCCTGCTCAGCCCCCACTGCTCACCTCTGAGTACTCTGCCACGTCTCTATAAATATCTGTGTCTGGAACCTGCCCCAGAACAGAATAGCGGGGCCTGTGGAGAGATTGCGCATGAATGGGGGGGTGCATGAGGAAAGGGGGGGAACAAGGAGGAACAAGGAGCCTGGGGTCATCCCAAGGTGTGGGAAAGCTGGGGGGAGTCAGTGTATACCTCATCCCTCACCAGCTAGAATGGGGGGACTAAGAGGGGAGACTCACAGCTGCGTGCGGACCACCACAAGCAGCAGGGAAAAGGCTATTGCAACAGCCAGGCCCAAGTCCAGGTTCAGCAGGATGGTGGCCACAAAGGTTACCAACCAGATGAGCTAAAAACAGAAGGGCAGTGGTCAACAGGGTCGAGCAGGGCCACTGGGGCTGAACACCCCCAATCCTACCCCTGGGCTCCCAAGCCTCTCACCAGATCCCCACGATTTGCCTTCCAGAGGGAGCATATGTCCTTGAACTGCATCAACATGCCCTTCAGGTTCACGATAATGATGGCTGCCAGGACTGCCTGCGGTGGGGGGAGTGTCACCGGGGCTGCTGAGGGGTGCCCAGATGCTGACAACGCTGACACTCAGGCATGAGCCAGACTCACCCTAAGCACCTGGGCATAACCCCAAACCTGCCCCCAGAACCTGACAACTTGGATCTGACTCTACCCCTTGACCCTTGGCTCCAGATCTCACCCTAAAGATCTCGACCTTGAAAAACAGGACATGACCTTATATCCCTGCCCTCACCTGTGACCTGACAGACTGATCTGAGTCCCTGGCCTGGCTAAGGCCCTCAAGCCTGTCTGGGGGTGGGGTGGGAGTGGGGGTGGGGCTGACCTTGGGCAGGTCTTGGAAGAGCTCCCCAAGTTTGATGATGATAATGAGGATGAAGAGGGAGGACACGGCTCCAGCCACCTGTGGGACAGGAGTGAGCGGGGTGGGGGTGGTGGTGGGGTCGGGATCACCCAGGTCAAACAGGCTACGCACCAGCCCCGCCCACACCTGAAGCTCACCTGGGTGTTGCCCCCAGTGCTCTCCTGGACCAGGCTCCGAGACATGGAGCAGCTCACCGGGAAGCACTGGAAGATGCCCCCGATGAGGTTACAGAGGCCTAGGGCCACCAGCTCCTGGTGGGGGGAGAGCAGATGTGAGGAGACTGCACTAGCAGTGCCTGGTCACCGTGCCACTGTGTCTAGGACTACACATCCCCAACCTCCATCCCCACTCATCAGCCCCAAAGACTTGCCTGCTGTCTCAAGTGTCCTGCTCTCCACCCTCAGTCCCCACACGGTCCCAGCACATCTGTTTGCTGTCTCCCTGTGTCCCACCTGATACTGAACCC